GAATGGGACTAAATATTTGCAAGTTGGTGAGCAAGTGGGAGGAGGGTGGAGAAGGAGGAGGAGGGATGGCTTTTTAATGATCCCCGTGTATTCTCTCTCGTCTACTTTTCAATTCCTTCACGCCACCCCAATCACCCCATATGACCCGTTCCATCTCTCTCTCTCTCTCTCTCTCTCTCTCTCTCTCTCTCTCTCTTGCTGACCTGACTGCATCATCATCATGGGTCTTCTATGGTTTTTTTGCTTTTTCAATGGAATTTATTGATCGATTGGGATTACATCACTCATGACCTAGCTACCTGCTTCAAAAATTCATCATCTCTCTCACCCAATTAATTTCATTCAAGAAAAATAAAATAAATAAATAGAGGGTTGCCTTCCTAATTAATACTTTTGGGTTTGTATATAATTTTCTGTTATACATACACAATAAAAGTAAATTTAGGTTTTAACCACAAAAAAACTTTCACTTTTGGAAAAAACCAAAACTTTTTCAAAAAAGACAGAAAAACCTCTCAACTTTCAAATTAAAGACATGCAAATGTAAAGGATTTCTTAGGAAATCCAAAAATAAATAAGGGCAATTTTGTTCGTTTTGGCTTCTTTTCAAAAATTTCTCTCTCCTTTGGGTTTTTCCAAAGTCTCCCCACAATAAATTAGCTAATACATTTCAAACTGGATATTAACAAATTAATCTACATGGATCAATTCTTACTTTCTGCAGTCAACATTAGTATCCTGGAAACAATAAAGACTTCCGTGAAACAGGCTATATATCCCGGTCAATAACATTATAACACGTGTAATAACACTTTAATGTGACATAACATTGGGGATAACAAAACAATGCATCCAATTTGAATTCACTTTTTCTTTTCAATTTTCCCATCTTCTTTTTCTTCTTTTTTGGTCAATCTTCTTTTTCTTCAGCCAGCCATTTTGCTTTTAGAACGTACGGAATAAGTAGTAGCTAGGGAACAAGGAGGGTGACATATACATAGCTAGAATGGGCAAGCCAGTGAGATGTTGAGGGGGATGGGGTAGGGGATGCCATAGAGAGCCCAGAATATGCATCTGATTTATAATAAGAGGGTTTTTGAGTTTCCTTTACGACACAACATTTTTAGATGTGGAGATGTCAACCACATTATTTTTTTCCAATGTATTTTGGCACCTACATTTTCAGCTAATTACTCTAAAATCTAGCTTGTTGATCAGACCAGTCCAAGTCTTAGGCCTTTCAATGGTTCCATCCAACCAATTGAACAACAAGAGTTTTGAGTGGTGTCACATCCAATTAGCCAATTTTCTATATGATCCAATTACTGGTCAAGGGGACTTTTGACACATCAGTATTAGCTGCCTGCCATCTAGTTAATCTCAAGCTACAAATGAATTAACTGCTAATTATTCCCATTAAATATTGTCTATGTTCAGTTAATGTACTAATAACGACCCTTATTTGACCTTAATATATATATATATATATATCTATGAATTAAGGTAAAATGTTCATGTTAAGCACTAGTTCAAGTTGTTTTGTCCTGATTAAGCTATGAAACCCAGATCGATCTATTTACATATCAACATCTCACCAAAACTTGTAACAATATATATGTATGCCAAATATATAGCTTAGCCTAGGCACATTGCTGTAAATACAATCCAAATAATTAAAGTATTTTGGCCCAGAGCAGCACAAACCAATTCAAAACTATTGCTGTCAGTAAACTACCAAGAAATGCATTTCAGCTGCTCCTAATAATTCCTGGATAAGAAAAAACTTGATCATGAAAATTGTTTCTCACCCACCACTTAGAGAAAAAAGCTTCAAAAGGGAGAAACCAGAGACTCCCCCCCAACATGCAAGCATCCAATTAGGCCAAATAGCTGTAGCTAGAAAGAAAAAAAAAACAGAGCAATGATTCAAATGCTGCCTAAAAAGCACCAAATACTTCCTACGACAACATGGGGAATCAGAAGCAGCTTGCATTCCCTCATTGCAATTCTTGTAGCAACTCTTCTAATTGGAGCTGTTTATCTGACCCAAGATGGTGGATTGCAGCTGTTGTATCAGGATTGTACTATAATTACCACATTGGAAACTAGAGCAGCAGGAGCAGAGGACCCAAAATTGTCAATTGGCAGCAGCAAAAGCAGAAGCAGCAGCTGCAATTTGTTTTCAGGGAAATGGGTTTCTGATAACCAGTCTTATCCTCTGTATAAAGAGAGACAGTGCACTTATATGTCAGATCAATTGGCTTGTGAGAAGTTTGGGAGAAAAGACTTGAGCTATCAGAACTGGAGGTGGCAGCCCCACCAATGTGACCTCCCTAGGTCTCTCTCTCATCCCTCTTTTTTCTTTTTCTTTTTTTCTTTTCTGGGTTGTAATTTCATGCAAATATATAATCTGGGTTGTTCTTTTGGTTAATGTTTTCATAGGGTTTTTTGAGTTTTGTGGGACTTTGTTCATGTAATATTATAAGCTAGGTTCAATGCCACAAAGTTGCTTGAGAGGCTAAGGAACAAGAGGCTTGTGTTTGTTGGGGACTCGTTGAATAGAGGTCAGTGGGTTTCCATGGTTTGCTTGGTCGAGTCTGCCATCAATCCAGACCTCAAATCCATGCCCAACAAAGCCAATGGCTCTTTGCTCATCTTCAAGGCCACTGTGAGTTTCCTTTTCCTCTCAAAACCCAATTTATTTGGGCCTGATTTGTAATTAGCAAAAACTAAGGCCCAAAATCACATATTTGCATTGCAGATTCTTCCACCAACTTAATAGAAACAGACAAAACAAAGAAACAGAATCTTCTGCTGTCAGAAGTCTCAGTTTCTTACGTTTCCTTCTCTGATTAGTTTAATATAATTCTGATTACGACGACTAATGTTTGTTTAATCTGATTTAATTAAGGAATACAATGCCACGATTGAGTTCTACTGGGCCCCATTGCTGGTGGAATCAAACTCTGATGATCCACTGAACCACCGCGTACCAGATCGGATTGTAAGAGCGCAGGCAATTGAAAAACATGCAAGGCATTGGACGGATGCAGACGTTCTTGTTTTTAATTCATATCTCTGGTGGAGAAGGTCCCAAATGAACGTCTTGTAAGTATAGTTTTGTTTTGCTATTGCATTGCATGACCTCCAAAAACCCAACCAACGCTTTATGATCAAAAATTAGGTAGCGGTTAGATAGAACCAACCATTTGACTTTGCATTAAAACTTATTATAATTTTGGTTTTTTTGGGAATGATTAAGGTGGGGATCTTTTGAAAGCCAAGATGGGATTTACAAGGATGTTGAGCTGTTGAGGGTGTATGAGATGGCGCTCAAGACTTGGTCAGATTGGTTGGAGATCCATGTTAATCGAACCAAGACCAAATTGTTTTTTGTTAGCATGTCACCCACTCACCAAAGGTACGCTTTATTTTATTTTATTTAAGATGAAAAGACAAAGATAGTTGATGTATTAATTAACAATTGACTATAAAATTAATATTAATGTAATAAGTACGCATCAACGAATCACGATGTCATGTTGTAGTTCTAAAGAATGGGGCGAGACAAGTAGGGAGAATTGCTACAAAGAAACAGAGCCAATTACAGAGGAGGGATACTGGGGAAATGGATCAGATCCTAAAATGATGCGTCTGGTTGAGAATGTGCTTGATGGGTTGAGAGTAAGAGGTCTAGATGTAAAAATTCTCAACATAACCCAACTCTCAGAGTACAGGAAAGAAGGGCATCCATCCATTTACAGGAAGCAATGGGAGCCTCTAACCGAAGAACAAGTATCAAATCCCAGCAGTTTTGCCGATTGTATACATTGGTGCCTCCCTGGAGTGCCTGATGTGTGGAATGAGCTCCTCTATGCTTACATTTTTCAACAATAACAACTTCTGTTTGGAAAAAAAAATTTCCGAACAGATCAAGCTTGTAACATCTTATCTGAATTTGTAAAAATCATGAATGTTGATGGCATGTTTACTAATCCGTAATTAGATTATGAGGAATTGAATTGAGGAACTGGATTCCGGATACCTATTGAAATTGCTTACTAAATCATATGGATTGAGGGGAGTTAGATTCCGTATTCCTATTGAAGTTGTTTACTAAATCATATGGAATTGGGGATGAGTGGTGCTAATTACTAAAATATCCTCGTTGTTAGATTAAAGTAGATGACAAATTTAGAATTTTTAAAATTGTGTGAGAATATATAATGGGTAAAAAATATGAATTCCTAATAAATTAGTTACCCAAGAATTGAATTCCTCCAAAATAAAGAATTCAATTCCTAATTTTGTGTGGATCCCACTTATTTTTTAATTTTTTTAATACGAAATAAACACAAGAATCCTCCATATTTAGAATTCAATTCCTGATGAGATTTTTAATTTCTGATTAGTAAACACACCATGAATGAATTAGGAACATAAACACAACGGTTTAACTCAAGTAAATTTTTACTAAACATATCAAAACAATGTAAAATTTAATGTCCATTTTTACCACTGTGAGATTTAATATCACATGTTTCAGCATTAACTTCAAACCACATGGCCTGTTTTAGCAAATCTCAAAGCATAACAAAGTTAGATTCTAAAGAAGTTTCACTTAATGTTGCTTTACCTTTATTTAGACAAAGCCTCTGCCTGTTAATATACTTTTCTAAAAGTCTTAGGCCCTCACGTCAGGAAAAGTCCTAAAAGAAAAAACAAAACAAAAATGAAGCGCTTGTATTTGAGAATTTTGGCTTCTCCTGAACAGTGTAGGTCCCTGACTGCAAACAAACAAAACAACCCACCAATTTCGATAAAAATAAAAAATAAAAAAAAACCAAACCAATCATATGATCAACATTTATGATAATATCTTAATACTAATTAAGGTATAATCTGACATGTAATAATAATATATGCATGCTAATAAAATCTTAAAAAGTAATGAGCAGAGTTGTTCAGCCTTAAACTTCCATAGAGTAAGACAAATTGAGCTGATGATTTACCAAAACATTCCAAAATATTAGGTCTTTTTTTAATAATAGACAATTATTTTCTTCTCGCGCGGTTGGTGCATTAGCTTAGCCTTAATATTATTTACCCGCCTGCAGCACCCTAATAAGTTTTTTCCAGACAGTGACTATGATTACTTGTAATCTCTGACGCTTATGTGATGATGATTGAACAAATGTTAAAAAAGCCCCTTCATAATTCTTTCTCTTTCAATTCTTTGGTCAATCAAGCAAGACTCCGTCTTTCACGATGCAGAGGTGGAACAGAAAGAAAACCCAGTTTCCTGTATTGGTGTTCCTCTTGTTTTTGTTCATAGTGTTCTCAAATCTCCACAGTGAAAATAGCATTCTGCAAATTCAAGATGGCCATGATCGTGCTCCTCGCCATCAAGATTCAATCACTTATGTAAAGCCAAATCTTTTCAGCCATCAAAACCAGGGTCCAGGTATGGCAGTGTTTGGTTTAGCTAAATAGGCCTTCTGGGTTCACTTTTCTGCATTTGCTGAATCTTTATGTTAATTCTTGATCAATTTATTTACTGGGTCTGTTAAATTAGTGGTATTTCTTTGATTTGGTGAAGTGGGTTGAAGTTGGTGTTTTGTGAATTTCAGAGGTTTTGGATAGATTCAGTACATGCAACTCCACCAAAGAGTACAGTGGTCGGAAAATTGCGTGGACTGACCGTAAGCCGAGGTACGGTCACCGGAGAGAGACTTTGGAGAGATGTGACGTGTTCTCAGGCAAATGGGTGTTTGATAATAGTTCCTATCCGCTGTACAAGGAATCGGACTGCCCATACATGTCTGACCAGTTGGCTTGTCACAAGCATGGCAGGTCTGATTTGGGCTACCAGTATTGGAGGTGGCAACCCCACAACTGCAACTTGAAGAGGTAAAGAGGTGCTCCTCTTTCTTTTAATTGTTTTCCAATAACCAGTTTAGATTTTCCTTTGTTAATGTGCTTGGGTTGGAACAAGAATTTTTCTCATGGGTTCTTGAATCAATAAACTGGAAATCATTTTGATGTGTTTCAAACTCGTGTCGAATTACTAATTATATTTCACTGAATTGACTAGTATGACTAGAATGGTATATAATTCAGCTGCTGTTGAGTTTCCTTTTGTGCCTGATGTGAGGTTTCCCTAATAATTTTTTTAATTCCCCTGTAGATGGAATGCAACTGAAATGTGGGAGAAGTTGAGAGACAAAAGACTAATGTTTGTAGGGGATTCATTGAACAGAGGGCAATGGATATCAATGGTGTGTTTGTTACAATCTGTGATTCCCGCAGATAAGAGATCCATGTCACCGAATGCTGCTCTTACCATTTTTAAAGCAGAGGTAAACAGAATTTCCGTCTAAGAAGTAAGACTGCAACTGAACCAAACCTCAATCTCAACTAACTGGGGCCTTGGTATCCATTAGGCTGCTCTTGTCTGACTAAGGCCAAAATGTGTTTAAGTTAGATAATACAATATTCATTAGGAAACAATGAAAGCAATAATAAATGTTTTCGAACAAGGACACACATGAAGTTTTGGGTGTGCTTGCCTGATTTCATTGCATGGCTAGCTGAAAGATATAATCTTGAATATCTCAGAGTGCGGTTCTTCATTGCTTTCTTCGTGTCCTTTGCAGGAATATAATGCCACTGTGGAATTTCTCTGGGCACCGCTTCTTGTAGAATCTAATTCTGATGACCCAGTGAATCACAGATTGGATGATCGGATAATCCGTCCAGATTCTGTTCTTAAGCATGCATCGGAATGGGAAAATGCTGATATATTGATTTTCAATTCCTACCTGTGGTGGCGACAAGGCCCAGTTAAGCTGTTGTGAGTATGGTGGCATTACCATCCAGGTTTCAGTATATATTATGTAGAAACATAATGAATTGATATCCTAATTGATCAGCTTACAATTCATACAGATGGAGCACTGAAGCTAACGGTGCTTGTGAAGAGTTAGACGGTCTTGGAGCCATGGAGTTGGCCATGGGTGCTTGGGCAGATTGGGCTTCTAAGGTCAATCCCCTCAAGAAGCGGGTCTTCTTTGTTACAATGTCTCCTACACATCTCTGGTTAGCACCAAGCCCTCCTAGAATATTTTTTTTATCCTACCACCTTTGCTCATATTTCTAGTGAAAGTTTTCAATCTTGGAAATAAGCTTATTGAGACTTGAATGAGGTTGTCAACTAGGCATTGTCCTGGCATACACTGGTCAACTTTAGGACTATTTAACTATACAACTATATTATGCTAAAATTGAAGTCCATAAAGATTAGAGAGTCTCCAAGGAGTTGGACATTAGACCTGTCCAAGATACTCAACCAGCATCCTTTTGTTCACTTAAAGGCTAGACTTGTGGGGTGACAGCTACATCTTGCCATCCGTATTTAGCTGTCGCTTAATCTTGCCATCTGTTAGAATTAAATCCTCCATTGGAAGCACACATTAGGATTAATACAAAATCCTGATATTAGTCTAGTTCTAGTTTTAGAGAGGACCTTAGACTGCAATTTCATACATCTTTGGCTCAGCTCTATAAAACTACATTTCCATCTGTTGGAACCTTTATCCTATGTAATTTCCTGCATTTTTAGGAGTCGAGAGTGGAAGCCAGAAAGTGAAGGTAATTGTTATAGCGAGACATCCCCCATGGATTTTGAGGGCTACTGGGGAAGTGGTTCTGACCTGCCTACGATGCACATGGTGGAGAAAGTCCTCAGCAAGTTGAGTTCAGAGGTTTCCGTTCTCAATATTACTCAGTTATCGGAGTACCGGAAAGATGGTCACCCTTCCGTTTACCGCAAATTCTGGGAGGCGCTGAAGCCTGAACAATTGTTGAATCCTGCGAGTTATTCGGATTGCATACACTGGTGCTTGCCTGGTGTACCTGATGTATGGAACGAGTTTCTATTCCATTTCTTGTGAACAAATGTACAATTCTTTCAAGTCCTTCTTAGTGGTTTCGTACAGCAATTTGCCTTGGTTCTCTCAACTCGTGGGCCATTGTTACATGATTCCATTCTTTGCAAATATGGTACAAGCATTCGACTTATCCTCTGTTCTAGCAATATTAGATCCATGTATGTATGCTGGATTTTCGTCAGTATCATGACTTCATTTATGAATTCCTCCAAATCCAATACATTATACAGGGCTTATGAAGTTATGACCCACAACTGCAAATAAAATTGCATTTATTTGCTTCCTCAAGCAATGATTACACATCAAACCCAATGCACAGTAAAACGAAAATGGAGCTTCATATTTGATGATGAGCACTGACACTGAGCAACATGGGAACAGTTTCCATAAGTAAAATAAAATGGAGAGAGAGAGAGAGAGAGAGAGCTACAAGGCGTTTGTAACTTTTGAATTCTCATATGCAATATGCCAGGGCAACAGGCCCCCCACGCCAAGTTTGGACCTCCAGCGCTACCAATCCAGCCCGGGCAAGCCCTAGGTCCCATCAGCCTGAGCAAGCCTAAGGGCAGATCTTGCTTAGGCTCAAACCAGAAGGCGCTGACGTTAGCGAGCCAAAAAAATTGAAAAAAATTCAAAATTTTTTTTTTTTAAACCAAAAAATTATGGATGTTTTCCCTATAAATACATAATAATTTTATTTACTTTCCACACCAAATCCTCATACAAACTATTCTCCTTCCAATATTTGTAAATCGTAATATTTTTTCATCTTGCATTTGTAAATTGTTTATATTTTCTTCCATATTTATTTTTTTCTTGCATAATCATTTTATTTCTTGCATTTCTAAATTGTTTATAATTTGTTGCATATTCTTTTTTTTTTCTTGCCCTTGTTCTAGCCTTTTGGGGTGGAACAAAAAAAAACAAAGCTATCACTATTCACATGAATAGTGGCAGCCCTTGCTTTGCCTTTACCTTAGCCTGAGCCTTTTGGGGTGGACATGCTCTAAGAGCACCTCTACCCCAAAGGGCAAGGGTAAGGCAAAGTCAAGACAAGATTTGACACTATTCACATAAATAGTGTCAGCCTTGCCTTTTTTGGTTACACCTCAAATGGCAAGGGCAAGGGCAAGGGCAAGGGCAAGGGCAAGGGCAATTACTATTAATTTGAATTCATTTTATATTTTTTATACTTAAACCATTAATTTTGGCATGAGAAGTGAAAAATAGGACTAGGTATTTATATATAAAAAAAATTCTAAAAATTATTACATTTTTTTTTCGATTTTTTTAATTGCTGACATCATCAATGACGTTAGCAAACCCAGGCCAGATTTGCCTTTGGGCCTGCCCAAGCTTGTGGACGCCATCAACTGCCTGGTCTTGCCATTGCGCACTGGAGCCAAAAACTGGGCCTAGATCCCCTCCTGCCCGGGCAAAACAGCTACGCTGGAGGTGCTATAAGGGAGATAGCTACAACGCCTTCAACCCATCATAATTCACTATTGTACAAACATTCACTCACATAATAGAGATATGTGGACGAGACGAGATACGTTACAGTCATCCATGTGCGCGTATGTGATTAATAATGTTAAACCACAAGCACTCATCAAGGAAGAAGAATCTGAAACGGATTCTTCTTAATCACAATAGTCGACTTACTCTCCGAATATTTTGTATATACTGTCATTCAAGACTTTTACCGTTTATATCTTTATTGTGCAGTTATAGATATTGTAATAGTTACACAAAGGAATATAACTTGAATTCAAACTCTTACATGGTATCAGCCTAAACAGTCCCTTTCTCTTCCAAGGGATAGCTTCTTCCCCCTCTCTCTCTCTAGCCGAACCCTCATGGCCTCTCCATCTTCCTCTTTCTCTCTCTTCCTGGTCACCACTCCTCCCATTTCATCGAGCTCACCAACACCAACTACCTCCTCTGGCTCGGACAAATAAAACATTTTCTCATTGGCCACGGCTTGTGGAAATATATTGATGGCTCATCTTGTAATAACCCAAACCTAAAATTAATATTTAATTATTAATTTATTGGAGGAAAAGACTAAAATGCCTTAGAATTTTTATTAGGTCAAAAGTTGACTTTATGACCAAGAAGGAAATTGGGGATTTCAATTATACCGTTGCGTAGAGCGCAACAAAACGAGTCCGTAGACACGTAGTGAACTCAAATCGGAGTTGTAACGAAAAAGTTACGGTCAAAATGCTTCAAGGGGCAAAATGGTAATTAGGAAAGTCAGATTTTTTTAAAAACCCCTCTCTCTCTTTGGTTCGACAGAACGCTCCCCCCCCATTTTTTTTTTCAGCTCAGTCGGTGGCTTCCAAGAGCCACTGTTGCCAAACGGACGGCCACCCCCTCCTCTTCCCTTCCCAATCGGTCTCAGCCCTTGCGACCGCCGGAGATTGCCGGAATTGCCGTAGAAATGGCCAGTTTTTGACAGATTTTCTCTAGCTTCGTTCGAACAATTTCGGGCACCAATTTGGACGAGTGAGGTATGGATTTCTAGCTATTTTTCATGCTCTAGCTGCTGGTTGGATAGGATTTCAGAAATTTCTAGAGTAGATAGCTCGATTTACGAGCTAGGTTTCAGCAGGTTTTCGGGTCACTGTTCCGGCCACTTCCGGCCAGTTTTTGGGG